GCATAGCATAGCATAGCATAGCATAGCATAGCATAGCATAGCATAGCGGGCCTGGTGGCTCAGCAGACTAAAAGCATTGTGATTAACACCAGCTGTCTGCAATTACTGTAAGTTCGACTCTCACCAGGCTCAAGGTTGACTCAGCCTTCCATCCTTACTAAGGTAGGTAAAATGAGGACCCAGTTTGTGGGGGCAATAAGATGACTTTGTATAAATATACAAAAGTATGAAGGCTATTGCTTAACGCATTGTAAGCCGCCCTGAGTCTCCGGAGAAGGGCGGCATATAAATCAAATTTAAAAAAATAATAATAGAAGTCTAAAGAATGAAGGGGTGGTAATGGGGACACTAAAAAGTGAATGGTAGACACATTATTTAATTTGGGGGCAGGGGGTCTCCAAGTCTTTCAACCTGTATATAAAAGTCTGGAAAGTAATTTATAAATGTATAACAGCAAAACAATAACTGGGAAAAAAAACTGAAACAGCAACAATACAGGTAATCCTCGACTTATGATTGTAATGGAGTCATGCCAGTCATAAAGTGGGTCACCCAGATGACTGACCTGATTTTGTGACCTTTTTTGCAGCAGTCGTAAAGTGACTGTTGCAGTTGTAAAGTGAACCCATTGCTAGTTATGGGGCATTTTTGTCAAAATTGGAAATATATGCTGGTTTTTGGCAAAAAGTCATAAAACAGTCACATGACTACAGGAAATTGCAAACTGGTGTAAATGCAGACTGGTCGCTGAGCTCCCAACTAGTCATACAATTGCAAGATGTGATGTTGGAACTTCAGAACCAGGTGGTAAGTACCTTTTGGGAGTCAGTCTTAATTTTGAGTGGTTGCTAAGTGGCTGGTCATAAGTCAAACCCTACTTACTTGTGTTGCCAAATCTAAACCAAGCACACACTCAATACAGAAGTCAAGCTTTTAGCAGATTTGCAAACTGGAAAATGAATCTTAATGATTGAGTTTTATGCCATAAACCCTAATGTGGTTGGTTAAGCAAACTGTAGTTTAGTGGATTATGTGAATCTGATCTATCCTTAGAATTGGAGCAGAGATTGCAATTGGATTGCTTATAAGACTGCAGTTTTTCTACTTTTTTAAATTGTACACCAATGTACACATACAGTGTTTATCTGACTTCCAGATCCAGCTCTGAAGATCTGAAATGCTCCTTATGTATTGTTGGCATCCAAGCTTTGGCAGAAATGGATCGATGGAGAGAGGTCCTCCCATGGGTCCTTCAGTACTACCACAAACCTGAAGGTTGGCCTCCCAAAATTCTGGAGCTCTGGTGAGTCCCCTTTTTCTGCGTCTGAATGGCAAATCAGATACTGCTCCATCCCAAGGATGAATATTAGGTTGTGTAAATAGCTCCCACCTAAAATAAGTTAAATATCAAGAATATTTACAACTTAATCTTACTCTAGAATTATGGGTACTTCCAGGTATGTTGCTCCTGATTTCTAGTTTAATAATAGGCAACAATTCTGTCATGTGTTTAGATGAATATTGCTTAAATCAGAAATGAGTTGAGTCTAGATTTTTCTATGCTCGCTGAGACAGTTTTAATCTTCAATAAGGATGCAGTTCCAATTTTTTTAAAAAACTCAAATCATTGCAGTTCTAGATGTTAACTTTCTGTGAGCAAGTACTTATATTGTTTTAGCAATTGAAGCAAAACTGTACTGCCTTAAATTATCTTGTAGTGGCATGCTTGGCTAAATTCACTAGAGAGTTTTTGATTATTGTTTTTCTGCGGTCATGTTTGTTTTTTCTCCAAGCAGCGCAGGATAGTTTATACCAAGGGTCTCCAACCTTGGCAACTTTAAGACTTGTGGACTTCAACTCCCAGCAAAGCTGGCTGAGGAATTCTGGGAGTTGAAGTCCACAAGTCTTAAAGTTGCCAAGGTTGGAGGCTACCTCATTTTGCTACCTCATTTTCATGGTCATAATGAACTTCTAAAGTGGGTTAAACTGAAAAGATATGATTGGCTTATGGCCAACCAGTGCAGTCCATGATCCAGGCAAAGTGAAACCTAACCTCATGCACTTAGTCTACTATATTGCAGTGGGTACCCCCAGTGTGATTTCATGCAGGTGACAAATACTCAAAGGAAGAAAAGACAATAAGATGGAGCTCCGGAAATAAGGAGGTGGGAAACGTCAGGTCTCTCTGGCATCCTGCGGGATGGAGAGAAAGAAAGGAGAAAACCGTTATTTTCTTGTGCCAAATTATCTTCACTGGAACATAGTTCATGGCAGGAAAAGGTTTTCCTCTCTTTTGTTATTACATAGGAGTTTTTGGGCACATTTGACACATCTGGAATGTTGAGAACAGCTTTGGACACTCGGAAAATAACCCATCATACAATACATGAGTCAAACATATTTTTTAGGTTGTTTTTTTAAATTGCTTGTTAACAGGTGAAAGTAATAAACAATAATAATGTTTGTCTAGATCATAATTATAATAATGAACAGAAGCAGACCTGCACAGCTTGTTGAGGGGAAGAAATCAAATCGATAAATGAAAAACAAATAGGCCACAAAGGAACACCTGGCATGCTGGAGTTGGCAGTGGTTGTGAGGCCTAGAGGCACTGGAGACATGAGGGCACTGCACCCTTTGGAGAAGTGGTGAATTTATTGACTTTTGGAAAAAGAAAAAAATATTTCTATAATAATATGCCCCCTGGTTCAGTTCTTTAACTGCCCAAGGAGCTGCTGATCCAGTTCTACAGAGGAATTATTGAGTCTTTCATCTGCACCTCTATAACTGTCTGGTTTGGTTCTGCAACCCAACAAGACAGACACAGACTTCAGAGGATAATTAGAACTGCAGAAAAAACAATTACTACCAACCTGCCTTCCATTGAGTACCTGTATACTGCACGAGGCAAAAAGAGGGCTGTGAAAATATCTACAGACCCCTTGCATCCTGGACATAAACTGTTTCAACTCTTACCCTCAAAAAGACGCTATAGGGCACTGCACACCAGAACAACTAGACACAAGAACAGTTTTTTCCCGAACGCCATCACTCTGCTAAACAAATAATTCCCTCAACACTGTCAAACTATTCACTAAGTCGGCATTACTATTACTATTAATCTTCTCAACATTCCTATCACCCATCTCCTCCCACTTATGACTGTATGACTGTAACCTGTTGCTGTATCCTTACGATTTATATTGTTTCCCAGTATGATTCAGTTGCTTATTTGTACCCTATGACTATCATTAAGTGTTGTACTTTTCGATTCTTGATGAATGTATCTTCTCTTTTTATGTACACTGGGAGCATATGCACCAAAGACAAATTCCTTGTGTATCCAATCACATTTGGCCAATAAAGAATTCTATCTATCTAATGAAATATACACCACACAGAAACTTATTACTCTTGTCTTTTCATTTCTACCATAGAAAGACACCTCAAAAGTCAGTGAAGACATCTCTTGAATCCAGCTGTTGACATCTGGACAGTTGTTTTCTTTCCACCTACTGCCAGCCCCCACTAGGTAGACCAGACAGAAAATCAACTCCATAGGAAGATTAGAGCCACACTTGATTGAGTTTTGCCATAATACCTGAATCTTGCACATCTGGTTGTGTTGTCACTCCCCCCCAATGTCTTATATCCCATTGAATCAGGGAGACTTTTACCTGAGCTAGTTCTTAATATTATTTTGTTTCCTGGGACTTAAAGAATGTTTTGGCCCCCTTTGCCTAGGTAATAAGTCTTGCAAAAAGTTATCTCCCATACACACTTACCTCTATATGGGATAATTCTTTTACCTGAACCACAGGATCTTCTAGCTTCTTAGGAAAAGCACAACTGTCTCACTAGGTCTTTTTTTCTGATAGGTGAATGGCCAAACAAAGCCTTTTCATTATTTTCTTTTTTTTTTCATTTTCAAAAAAACCTTTATTAAAGTTTAAAATATTAAAATATAAATACAAATACATCTGTAATGAAAATATGCCCATAATATTTGTACAATTCAACGTCATTCTGACAGTACACCAATCTTAACTCTATATTCCCAGATATTCCTACTTGCTCAAGTATGTATTAAAGGAAAATATCCTTATAAAATTAAATATCTGATCATTCATATCACCACAGCAGCGAGGAGTGTACTCGCACCAAGCTTGGAAAATGTCCCCCATACTGACAGATTGTGTAATAATCCGGAAAATTTTTGAACGTGCAGAAAAGGACAAACTTACTATAGAATTAAATAATAAGGAAGACTCAGAATATTACTCAACTTGGGAAAACTGGTATCAATGGATAGAAAATAAAAATAGGAAATATATAGATCAAAATAAGACATCAGTTGTGTTTACACACATACTTTTCATTATTTTCAATATTCTGAGAATCCTTATTAAACCCTAAGCATTGCTGGAAATACAGATTGTGCTGGAGCAGTATGTGTTCTACTGTTATGTACTTTTCATTATTTTCAATATTCTGAGAATCCTTATTAAACCCTAAGAATTGCTGGAAATACAGATTGTGCTGGAGCAATATGTGTTCTACTGTTATGTACCTAAGGAAACAGGACTACCAGAACACAACAGCCAAATTCTACCACTGAATGGTGATGGAACTGTATGGAACTTTGCTAACTTCCCCATTTCTTAATTAAAAAAAAAAAAGCTAGGAGGTCTATTTAGTACAATCTGTTGCATCCATTGGGGTCTATGGATGTTACATCTTACTGGTTCTTTGTATATGGCACTTTTGAATGTCTTAAGACATGTCCAATTGAAATATGAATGTGTTAAACGTGACTTAGTGTGTTATTCATATATTCTCTTTCAGCATCCTCCTCCATAGCAAAGTGGAAGAACCTCATGTGATGTTAGATGTTGGTCGGGACTGGTTATATTGCCCATCCAATCCGAACTTGTCAAGTTATGGCCTGTTGGCTCAGCTTTATCTTTTCCATGTGCTCTTGCCACTCGGACACTTTTTAGCGGCAGAGGAGCTGATCCAAGATTGCAAAGCTTTGAGCCAGGAGCAGCGAGAAAACATGCACAAAACCCTTCAAGAGAAGAAGCATCAGTGGCTACAGAAAGAAGAAGCATCTCCAATTCCTGAGGAGCAGCCAGAGATGTCATGGAAGCTGCAGTTGGGTAGGATTCCTGCAGATGGAACTCTGAATGTCTTAACATTCTGTCTGGTCTTGTGAAATCATTTGCAGCATTGCCTGCAATGAGCATTGAGCCTCCACTAAAGCAATGGTACCAGCTTGGTTAAAGCATCACCATTCAGTGGTAGAATTTGGCTGTTGTGTTCTGGTAGTCCTGTTTCCTTAGGTACATACAGTAGAACACATATTGCTGGAAGAGAGGCCTCAGCAGTCTTCTACTCCAACCCTCTGCTCAAGACAGGAGCCTTATACATCTGAACGATTGATTGCACAAGCAGAGAGTTCTCTTGATAAAATTGTTGAAGAGGTCCAAGGAGAGAAACGATCCATAGTCTCTTTCCCATAGATCACATAGATTGGCTCTTCCTATTTCACAACAGCTGGATATGCTAATCGTCATAATAAGTTTTAATTTAAATGCCTTTGATTCCCAGCAACTTTCCCTTGAGGAAGATGGAAACTACAACAATTTTGCTTAATCAGAAGCAAAAACAGGTCTACGCTAGATTCCATTCACCTTAGTTTAGAGGTGTACAATTGACTCAGGAAACATTGCATGTTGAATCCTTCACAATTTTAGTTAAAGGAAAAGGAAAGATCCCAGAATGGAATCATAGAGTATCACTGTCACTAAGAGGAGCTGGTACTAGGCTAGGTGAACAGATAATCTAACAGTGATTAATAATCTTGAAGAACGCAGCCACACAGAAAGAGCCCAGTCATTTTAAAATGCAACATGTTATCTGAACTCCAAACAAGAATGCTGTAATTTATAATCTACAGCAGGGGTCTCCAACCTTGGCAACTTAAAGACTTGTGGACTTCAACTCCCAGAATTCCTCAGCCAGCAAAGCAAAGCTGGCTTTGCTTTGTCTTAAAGTCTTAAAGTTGCCAAGGTTGGAGACCTCTGATCTACAGGGCTAATGTAAATAAGGGGCAATAAAGGCGTCCTATTACAGCAGATTAATTAGTGTGTAGTAAGATTACACCTTATTTCAGAATAAGAAAACCAGCTTCTTAATTTGATTAACTATGATTATTTGTGTCTAACAAACTCACCAAGAAATGTTTGATGTGCTTTGAAGCAGGGTGGATTTGATTTAAATCGAGTTGATTTAAACCACAATTTAAATCATGATTTAAATCACTAGTAAAAAGGCTTGATTTAAATCAACTCGATTTCAATCATAATTTTTAAAGAGCAACTGTCATCTCTGCTACTCCTTTGATCCACTGTTGACTCACCGATAGTCCCAGTGTTGCAGAATATACAGCCTCATGCTACATAACTAAGCTGAATAAACTAAATAATTTATGTATCTTAAATAGAAAACTATCTTACGATAGATTTTTTCACCAAAAGTTTTTTATTAAAATAAATTGATAAAAATCAAAAAAATCCGATTTAAAAAAAAATATCTGATTTTTTTTTTTATTTTTTTAAAAAAATCATTGATTTTTATCCACCCTGCTTTGAAGAAATTAACTTTGTGTGCCTGTTAAAGCAGAATTATGCGGCTGTTTAAAAACAATGAACAAGATAGATATAGATCCAATCTTTTGAGATATTTTAGAAAGAATTGAGTAAAGCTTACACATTTTGTTCAACTCTGAATGTCAGAAACTACTATAATAAATCTAGGTTATGTAAATAACACACTAAATAACAGTTCCTTTTTTTAAAAAAATCTCCATTAAAACCACAAAAAAAATATATAAAGTCATTCATCTTAAAAAAGAGAAATGAGAAAGCTCAGTTTTGGTATTCGTGGCCCTTGTCATTCCCCCCTTGTGAAGTTTCTTTCTCTTGTGCTGCAGGTTCAGTGTCTCAGAGGATGTTGACCATCTTGGGCCAGCTGAGAAGAGTGCTGGAGTCTTTGGCAAGCCATTTCAGCTTCATCCCCTTCAAAAAGACACTTTTGGTGGCCCTCCTGTTGTGCCTCATTGTATTGAGACTTGACCCAGGTAGGGGACTGAAGAAAATGAAGCATCTAGAGCCGTGATGGCGAATCTATGGCACATATGCCACAGGTGGCACGCAGCGCCCTCTCGGTGGGCACGCAAGCCGTCGCCCCAGTTCAGCTCTGCCGCGCATGCACACGGGCCTCCAGCCAGCCGGCTGGTCATCGTGTCTCTATCGCGCATGTGCATGGGACGGGGCGCACGTGGGGGGCCGTGTGCACATGGGCTGGGGTGGAGGGGAGGGTTGCTCACGCATTGCATTCTGGGGTTCTTTGGGCACGCGATCCGGAAAAGGTTAGCTATCACTGATCTAGAGAAATAGTTTCTTGTCTGAAGACAACTAGGAATATGGGACAGAAAGTGGAGAAAATGGGTAATTAGAAATTGAATGCTTGGCACAATGTGTGAACCCAGAGGGTTTCTGGGCGAGAAGTTTTGATCTGGATAGCTCCCACTCTGATGATGCTCAGGAAGCTATTGGAAACCACCTGATCTCCCAATTGTTGGAGTTGATTGATGGTGGAGCCCCAGTTGGATTTCTTAGTTTTCTTTTTTTCCCCCCCTTCTTCTTTCTTGCATATATCTGCCTCCAGGCTGCTTATGAATCCTTCTCTTTTTTTATAGTATTTTTTATTTCTTATTTTTTTTAACTCTTAAATTGTTTAGAGTGATTGGAAGTTGGGTAGCGTCTAAATTGCATAAATAAAATAAATCCTGGCTCTACCGTCTGGTCTTGGGGTATTTTGTTTGGAAGGAACTCCTATCTTTAGACAAATCAGGGGTGTACTTAACATTGGGGTGAAATCTAAAATTTGTAACTACCAGTTCTGTGGGCGTGGCTTGGTGGTGGTGGGGTAATGTGACTGGGTAGGCGTGGCCAATTTTTTTTTTTTTACTTTTAAAACCATTTTTTCTACAACCTCTTCGGTGAAGAGGTTGTTAAAAAATGCTTTCAAAAGGCTCTGACGATCCCAGCTGAGTTGCCTGGGCAACTCAGCTTGGATCATCAGAGGCATTTAAAAGAAAAAAAGGGTTTTTTTTCTTTTAAAAGCCTTTGATGATCCCAGCTGAGCCGCACGATCATCAGAGGCTTTTTTTTTTACTTTTAAAAGCATTTTTTCAGCCGAAGAGGTGGTAGAAAAAATGCTTTTAAAAGTAAAAAAAAAAGCCTCTTGTGATTGTGCGGCTCATCTGGGCGTTTGGGGGGGGGGCAGGGATTTTTGCTACCGGTTTTCCGAACCACCCGCCTCCATTGCTACCAGATCAGGCGATACGGTCCGAACCGGGAGCATTTCATCCCTGCTTAACATCCTCTAATCTCAGTGTGTGAGATAGAGATCCCATAATATGCATTTCACTATGTGTAAATGAAAAATGGGTTGATAAAAAGGAAAATGCTATTGTACCACTTCCTGAAACAGTAGTTCAAGCAGGGGTAAAAAAATTTTTTTACTTTTAAAAACATTTTTTCTTTGGCGGAAAAGCAAAAAAAAAATGCTTTTAAAAGAAAACAAAAGCCTCTGATGATCAGGCAACTCAGCTGGGATCGTCAGAGCCTTTTAAAAGCAATTTTTTTTACAACCTGTTCAGCTGAAGAGGTGGTAGAAAAAAAGCTTTTAAAAGAGAAAAAAAAAAGTTGGCCACGCCTACTCAGTCACATTACCCCCACATTTCACCACTGAGTTCAATGTATGTGGCTATCAGTTGTAGCTCTTGGGAGATACATCTATCTTACAAGACCTGGATGAAATCAAACATGATTGTTATTACAATTACTGATTTGACCCAAATTACCAAGAAAAGCAGCTGGCAAATTAGTTAACTGGAAAAAATCCATTATTATGGCAAAGGAGCTTTAATGAGGAGAATACTGGCTCATTTGAAGATGCCTTCTGGTTAAGAATTTCATAACAATACACATAGATACTGAGTTTGTTCAGAGGTAATACATATCAGAGACAAAAATTAGACACATGTAATTAAAATTAAAATTAAAATTAAAATAAAATTAAAATAATCTTATGCTGTATTTATAGCAAATATGTCGCTTCCTTAGAATGACTTGATGCCTGATGCTAAAGTTTCCTCCTTGCCTTCTTGCATTTTTCTCCTGCTTCTTGTTAATGTTTCCCCCATATCACAGCAGGGGTGGGATTCAGCCGGTTAGGATCGGTTCGGGTGAACCAGATGCTCATTTTACATCTGGTTAGCAGAACCGGTAGTTGCAAGGACTGGCTGGCCCCGCCCACCCCTCCCCGTCCTTCCCAGGAGTCTCCATGCGGCCCGTTTTGGATGCCAGGTAAGTGCAAGGCCCACGTGGAGGCTCTGGGAGGGCAAATAACAGGCCTCCTGGAAGTCTGGAAACAGGCCCATTTCTGGCCTCCGGAGAGTCTCCGGAGCCTGGGGGAGGCCGTTTTCACCCTCCTGGAAGCTTGAAGAAAGCTTCCGGAGCCTGGGGAGGGTGAAAACACCCCCTCCCCTATCATGGTGCAGGAGGCCGAGTAGGCCACACCCACCATGGCCACACCCACCCAGCAACCGGGCAGAAAACCAGTTGCTAAAATTTTTGAATCCCACCCTTGTATCACAGTCTTAGGAGAGCAATGTTGTGGCTTTGCTTTTTTCTGGTCTCTATGTGTTCTTCTTGATTGTCTTGCTTTCTGCCAGAGAAATGCATCCAATTTCAGAAGATTAAAGGTGTCTTCTCAATAGTAAGAGAAACGGGGGGGGGGGGTGGACAAAGTCCATATCCTTCAGAGTGAGCATTGATAGATGAATTGATTGATTAGAAATTCAGACGCTGCCTATCTGATTTGGACTGGTCAGAGATTAAGTCAAGCTTGAAGGTTGCCTTTCAAAACAACGTTGATATCACAAAAGGACCCCAATTTGATTGTGGAGGTGTATTGTAGCCACAAGGAAATTAGCATATGGCATTAATTTTATTTTTCTTCTATTCTCTTTCCCCTCCCACCTAGCATCCCCTGCTTCTCTACCCTTTCTCTACAGGTTGACCCAACTTTTCCATCAAGCTCGTTTGGCTTTATTTCCTCCAAGTAGAAGACCTCCTGTTCAAGACTAACTTGCTCTATTGTCATCTCTGGATACCATGAAACGCTCCAGGTTTCAAGCCAACACTGCAGGTTTGGGGGCAATGCTGAGCTTAAAGCTACAGGAGTTTCCTCCAAGACCAAGAATGTCTTCTGACAGTAGATATGGCTGGATGAAACACAAGAGTCCATATGAAGAGGTGTCTCTTTGTATTAGAACGTGCTTTTTTGTGCTCATTCCTGTTTAGAAGCATGTTCATTTTAAGTGAGTGACACTTGCTTCCAAGTAAACTTTGAGATCAAAGTGTGGCAGACTGTTTCAGGTGTTTTTTAAATCTTCACTTTGGCAAGGAGACATTAAATGTTTTTTTTCTATCTGGGAAAGACTGTGCCTGCCTCTCCTCTCCTGGTATACATTTGTCATGCAGGAGTTCTTCTTCCCTTCTCTACTTGGCTGGGAGGTCCTCCAAACCAAGAAAGACACCTGTTGATTCTTCCAAAGATTTCTTTATTGTTTCACACCTATAGACAGCATCTTGCCAGACTAAAGCATTCTACAATCAGCATCAAACATATTCTCTGAGAACAATTAAGGAGATGATGTCTCAGTTTCTTTGTTTCACACACACTATCTGAACCAGGGGTGAAATCCAGCAGGTTCTAACAGGTTCTGGAGAACCAGTAGCGGAAAGTTTGAGTAGTTCGGAGAACCGGCAAATACCACCTCTGGCTGGCCCCAGAGTGGGGTGGGTATGGAGATTTTGCAATATCCTTCCCCTGTCATGCCCATCAAGCCACGCCTACAGAACCGGTAGGGAAAAATTTTGGATTTCACCCCTGATCTGAACTGAATTGCCTCTTATTCGTCTGGAACAGGGATCTCCAACCTTGGCAACTTTAAGGTTTGTGGACTTCAACTCCCAGAATTCCTCAGCCAGCTTTGCTGGGAGTTGAAGTCCACAAGTCTTAAAGTTGCCAAGGTTGGAGACCCCTGCTCTGGAATATATGTACATCCCTCCTTCATGGAGATCAAATCCACAACATTCCATCACACTGGCTGCCTCCAGATGGGATGGACAACCAATCCCATTGCCCTCATTCATCAGGTCATATATGGAGAGCAAACAGTTGGTGCAGATTCCATTTAAAATTTATGAGTGTTTTTGCTCAAAGAAGAGGAAGTGATTCCAGAGAAAGCAGATAAGCCATATCTGGTTAAGTGGTTCTCTCTTTAACTTTCATGACTGAGCTTCCAGGGCAGCAAGCAAGTTATGAAATAATCACCTTAACCCCATCCTTCCTTTCATCCCTTTATCCCTCAGAGGGCCTGGGCCTTTTTGTGGGGAGTAGACATAGCTTTTCCTGATTTGGTAGTGAAACTCAGAATCATCTTATCAGGGAGATGGGTAGCATATAAATGTAACTATTTTATTTTTTTATTTTTAAAAGTTCTTGCTAATGAGCGATAGATTCTTTTGATCTGTGCAGGTCTTTACTTAAGGAAGAGCTGTAATGCTTTTAGCAACTTTTGTTCATTATTTTGTAAGGGTTAGGATGGGCAAACAATCATTTTCAGGGGTGGGAGAAATTTGCAAATGGCGTTACATGTTTAATATTTAAATTTATATACCGCCCTTCTCCCGAAGGACTCAGGGCGGTGAACAGCCATAGATAAAAAACATAGAATACAAAATTTAAAAACAATTTAAAATATATTAAGCAATTTGGCCCGACAGTTAAAATCCCCCATTTAAAATTCAAATTAAAATTACACCATTGGAGAGTTAGGCCAACCCGGCTTGATGAAATAAAAAAGTTTTGAGGGCCCGACGGAAAGTACGTAGATCCGGAAGCGTTCGTATCTCCGGGGGGAGCTCGTTCCAGAGGGCAGGTGCTCCCGCAGAGAAAGCTCTCCCCCTGGGGGCCGCCAGTCGACATTGTTTGGCCGACGGCACCCGGAGGAGCCCCTCTCTGTGGGAGCGTACTGGCCGGTGGGAGGCTCTTGGTGGCAGAAGGCGGTCTCATAAGTATCCAGGTCCTAAATCATGGAGCGGTCTAAAGGTGGTCACCAACACCTTGAATCGCACCCGGAGGACCACCGGGACACATGTTGTTTAAACCAGTTGCTGTCCCCATTTAATGTTTATAGTAGGGACGCAGTGGCTCAGTGGCTAAGACGCTGAGCTTGTCGGTCGAAAGTTCAGCAGTTCAAATCCCTAGTGCCGCATAATGGGGTGAGCTCCAGTTACTTGTCCCAGCTTTTGCCCACTTAGCAGTTCAAAAGCATGTAAAAAATGCAAGTAGAAAAATAGGGACCACCTTTGGTGGGAAGGTAACAGTGCTTCGTGCGCCTTTGACGTTTAGTCATGCCGGCCACATGACCATGGAGACATCTTTGGACAGTGCTGGCTCTTCGGCTTTGAAACAGAGATGAGCACTGCCCCCTAGTGTCGGGAACAACTGGCACATATGTGCAAGAGGAACCTTTACCTTGAATGTTTTAAAAAGTGTTTTGGTTTTATTTGTTTGGCATCTTTCGTCTTCTCTACCAAAGAGAAAGTAAACAAAGAAGAATGGAATACTACCAAGGCAAGATACCCACTTATAATGTTTTTTTTTCTTGTTTTCAAATCAGTCTTGATTCTTGGCAACTACATGGACAAATGCCAGGGGTTTTCTAGGCAATATTTTCAGAAGCACCTTGACCTTGTCTCCTGCTTCCTAAGGCTGTAAGGGTGTGACTGGCCCAAGGTCAGTCAGCTGGCTTTCATTTGGAAGGCAGGATTAGAGCTCAAAAGTCCTTGCTCTCAGTCCAGTGCCTTAACCACTAATGCAAAACTGGCTTGTATCTGCATTGATTGCAAAAGTATCCCCATGCATTAGAAAGCCACATTTTTATTTTACTCGGGATACAAAACATCTGTTTGCAAAGAATGCTGATGTATACTTTTATGCTTCAACTGTTTGTTCTGAATATTGAATGCTGTCCAGAGTCAAAATGAGTGCTGCAGTACGACAGCCTTAGAAATCTAATAAATGAAATAAATTATTTTCCTTCTTCTGTAATGCTGATCTGTACCCCAGTTTTTGTTTTGACTTTGTCTACGCAATTGCAATAGATAAACTGTGTTATATTTTGACACACCCACCCGCTTCTCTGTAGGCAGCAGCATACTCCATTGTTTACAAGCTAAAGATAATACTAAGTGGAACTCTGGGAATGAAATGCTGACCAAACACTATTTGCTAAAGTGGCACAGAACAAAAATAAAAGCTGAAAAACCTGCCAAATTGAAGCGGTCTGAAGTCTTCAGTGGGCAGCGGAATTCCAGAGGGACATTTCCTAGCTAGCTAAAACGTGTGGAAATTAATTTTTATACTATTGTGTATATTTTATTCAAAAGTTTATGCACTGTTAACGAAAGATTAGCTGACACTGCTTTACACAGAATGATAAGAGCCAAGGTGGCACAGTGGTTAGAGTTAGGGTTACTGCAGGCTACTTCAGCTGACTGCCAGCTGCAGTTTAGCAGTTCAAATCTCACTGGCTCAAGGTTGATTCAGCCTTCCATCCTTCTGAGGTGGGTAAAATGAGGACCCAGATTGTTGGGACTGTAAACTGCTTAGAGAGGGCTGTAAAAGCACTATGAAGAAGTATATAAGTCTAAGTGCTATTGCTATGAGGAACTGTGTTTATGTGTGCTTCAAATCGGGGGTTCCTAATTTTTTTGCCACCACAACTTTCTTAATGTACACACTTCTCCTAAAACAACGAATGCCAAAATGGACACATGAACAATTAAAACACTATTATAAGATTGTGGGAAAGATGGATTTATTTATATACTACTGAAACTCGTGTGTTGTAACTTTCAATTGGGCAAAATGGTGCATCACTGATCAACAGTTTTCAAATCAATATATCTCAAATGGGCTAACGCACCCCAAATCCAGGACCCATGACTCCTGTGGGATTGAAATTTGGCAAAACCTGTAACCACTTCAGTACTTCTGCACTGTCTCACCACCATGCACTGCATGCAGCCATGATCAGTCATAGTCAGGTGATGCTCCCTACCAGCTTCCTACAAGGAAAGTCAGTGGGGAAGCCAACAGGAAGTCAAAAGTCACTCTCCCACTACTTTTTTGCCTGCCTATGATTGTTGTTTCTCTGTTTAGTAGCGAAATATCTCTGAAATGATGACCGAACGGGTCACAGGCTGTCTACTTCAGGGGTGAAATCTACTTTCCTTCCTTACCGGTTCAGAAGCGCACATGCTGCAGACCTGTGCATGCACAAAACCTTCTGCGCAGGCAAAAAACACATTACTTCCTGGTTAAAACCAGGAAGTAATGACACCTGGATGGGTGGGTGGAGCTTCGCTCTACCATCGCGACCAGATTGCTGAACCACCGGCCAAGATCGCTACCGGATTGGGCGATCCAGTCTGATCCAGGAGCATTTCACCCCTGGTCTAGTTGTAACTAAAAGGTTCTTCATACTTCCTCTGTACATCTCACAATTGAGAAAACAGTACTTTAAATGACACATGGGGACCATATTCTGTTTCATTACAATTCTATCGCAGTGGACAAGTTTCTTCTTCAGGAGAAGACTGCTTCAGTGCTGTCTGATCTGTGATGCTTAAAGCTTTATAAGCTTTAGTAATTAATTAGGCAATATTTCTCAGAAATGGTTTCCATTGCTTTATTCTTCCAGAGCTGAGTGAGTGTCTGGTTCAAGATCATCCAGCTTTCTGCTTCAGGTGGGACTAGAACTTCCGCTTTCTTGGTTGCAAGTTTGGTGTTTTCATCACTATAACTCTTTTATGGACAAGTGCCAACAAGTGAAATTCTGTTTCCAACAACACAGTCAGGCAATGACCTTTGAACAATGTGGACTGTATGTTCTGAAAGAGTCCCACCAGGCTTTCACATTTTGTTTCTGAAGAAAAGACCTGCAAAACTGCATCATAGTCCTGTCCTAGAAAAATGCCATGACTCGTATTGCTGAAAGCTGTATGGTTTTGTAAAATTGACACAGGTTCACTCTTCTACATATGAATGACAAAGGGTGTTGGACGCCAAATTGGGCCCAATAATCGATTGTAAAGAAAGCTTGGAGTTGGCCTTCCACTATCCACTACCTACTTTGCCTGTGAACTAATCAATTAATTTTATATGCCCCCCATCTCACAAATTATACATCTGAATAGATTCAAATCTAATCTACATCTGAAGGTCAAATCTCAAGAGGCATTCAAAGCTTCTAAGCTACACACACACACACACACACACACACACACACACACACACGTTTATTCAGATTAAAAATCTAGGATGCAACAACTATTAAAATAGCCAAGCACACCATCCAGCTCTAATTCGCTTTGGGTCTAAGGCTGGTTCATTCATCACAATAAGTCATGATTTGTTTAACAGCATTCTGAGGTAAAATCAAACAAATCATGGTATAGCTGGGTAAATCAGAGCTAAGGCAGAATGGATATATGTCTTTTCGACAGCTGCCTTCATAGCAAATCATAATAGATGCCATTTTTCTTACCTGGAAACCAGTTGCGTAGTAATATGCTGTCACATCACAACACATTGCACTATTACCATGGCTGTCATGGATACTGTAGTTCTAATATAGTCCAGCCCAGAGGGGGGTGGGGGGAAATGGTAAGGTAATCATTGTGCCAACTTTTCTTCAGATGTGTTGTGGACAGGGATGTCCCTATTCCCACAAGACCTCATCCCAGCTAATGTTAGGGCAGAAACCAGAGCATGCTTTGCCGTATAGTTCAGCTCACAGAATAGTAAATCTAACTGCTTTTAAAGCCAGTTCCCAATGAAAGTATGATTGAATGTTCCTCAGTTACTTCTTAATTAAAATTGCATGAGTAAAGCAATGATAAAACTCATTAATTTTCCTACTTGACTGTTTCTCTGATTGCTGTGCTATCAAACAAGAGCTACCCCTCTTGGATACAGTCAACGGTAGATCCCAGAGCTCAGGATCTTTGTCCTAGAATGCATTGTGGATGAAAATGAGACCAGCATTCAGCGATAGTGAGAAAGATCTTTATGTTCTGTTCAGATAAGAAAACCCACCAGAAATGGTCTTTTTGAACCATGGGATTCTCATTATGCTTTTATTGGAATCCATGAAGTGTAGGGAGAAGATGGAATATTTCTTTGCATTTTTGCCTACGTATGTCAACACTTGGGTGATTTCATAAAACAAGCTGAAGATGGAGAAGATACAATTACATTTTTTGAATCAATACAGTGCAGACATATCCTATGAAACCCACCTCCAAAGACTGGGTGACTCTCCATTGATGTCAATGGGCAGGAGAGCAGGGGAAGTTGCCAGGGGTGATTGTGACCTCCTCCTGCACTATGATGCTCAAGGACACTTCCTGGAGGTACCATGCATGGACTGAGCCCCTTGTTGCCAAGCTGCTTAGAAGCAAGACAGCAGTGGGGGCATCAACATCCGTAGCTGCTGTGCTAGTCTGGAAGGGACGTGAGCACCACTGAAAACGCCATGGTAAGTAGGGAAGTGCCCAAGGGCCCAGGAGGCTGGATCAGGAAAAGAGAAACCTTCCTCCATTTGTCCTCTACCCTTGACTGTGCCTAAAGAGATGGAGTAGACAGGCTGTTAGAGAATCAGTCCAGGTGAAGAATGGAATATAGAGAGGTCTTACAGAACTAGAATGCTCATTGGACAACTCTTCCACAACTGGATTGCATTGCCCTTGTTACCAGCCTCAGAGACACCGGTCCAGCCTGTTAGCTAGGGATGATGGGAGACCGAGATTTCTGGAGGATGCTGTCTCGGAATGATGGGGCTAGAGAATTTGTTTACCTTGGTTGACATTTAGCTTCTGCTCAGCATGGAGATACACCGAAGAAAAGAAGGTAGTCCAAACAGCAGGTTTACATCACCAAAATAAGGATTTCAATTCAACACAAAGAACAATTTCTGAACATTTTTAAACAGGGTTCAGATTTAGGTATGTCCAAACAGCAGGTATTCTGCACTGACAACATAATTCTTGTTTTTGTGTAATGGCACGAGACACATGACCTCGAATTGATTTTTCCTGGAAGCCTATGATTATGTTAGCTGGCATAAACTCAGGCATAAACCATGATTTTCAAATCCCAGGGACTGAATTTTACTGAAAATTCAAAAAGCAAAACATTGCATGAGTTATAGTTTAATATATTGTGTGAATTGAACTAATTATGGCTTATTTAACTAAATTGCAGTTAAGCAAATCAAAGATAAGTATGGTATGTAAATTCACTTATTTATGTTTTCAGAACCCATCACAATACGATCATTTCCAGCAATCAGTCATATGACATGTATTCACTTGTAGATTTGCTCAGCTCATGTGGCTGTATTTGGACACTAAATCCTTAACTAGCCTTCTCTAAGCTATGTGTGCAAGTGAAATTTAAGGGATTCCAGAGGAAGGGCGCAAAATCATGTGTTGTGTGTCATCTAAATGCTATATACTTTTTGTGTTGTGCAGCGTGAATGCATCTCTGTTCACGTTGGCCAGGCTGGAGTTCAGATTGGCAATGCATGCTGGGAACTCTTCTGCCTGGAGCATGGGATCCAGCCAGATGGCACCTTTGCTGAGAATAACAAATTCAATAATGATGACTCCTTTGCTACCTTCTTCAGAGAGACAGGCACTGGAAAGCATGTGCCACGGGCTATCATGGTGGACTTGGAGCAAACGGTAGTTGGTGAGTCAATCATTAAGAAACATGCCTTGCGTCAAATTCCACAACTTCCTGTGGACTAATATTATTGATTTCCCCACTCCCTCGTACTTCAGTGATGTGGCTTAATTTGATTTAGGAAATTGAATTATGTGTAATGTTATGCCATAGCGTGGTTGTTTATTTGGAGCTCATCATGTTGCATAATCCCAGCCATTGTTGGTAAATTATGGTTTTAATAAATAAATAATAAATAACTTTATTGTCATTGTACAGTATACCCATACAACGAAATTCACTTAACACCCAGAGACCAG